CCTCCTCAGCATTTGTGGCAAAGTTTCTCTCATTCATCCAATTGTCGTCCAAAAACTTTGTCATATAATTGCGAACTCCATCCGGAAGTATGACAACACATCTCTGGTCTTCCCGGAGCTCTTTTGCCGCCTTCAGTGCGGCCACGACTGCACTGCCCGATGAACCGCCACAGAGTAGCCCTTCCTCTGCGATGAGCTTTCGAGACATTTCAAGCGATGATTTGTCTTCAGATTTATACCACTTGTCGACAACACTTCGATCCAAAACCGTGGGAATGAAATCATATCCAATGCCCTCCACTTCATAGAAAGTTGTGTCCGATTTATTAATGTCTTCGGGCAGAGCCAGTATTGAACCAAACGGATCAACTCCAACAACCTTACAGTCGGGCAGTACTTCTTTGAGTTTACGTCCGATGCCAGTTCTGCTCCTCTTCCTCCTCAGCATTTGTGGCAAAGTTTCTCTCATTCATCCAATTGTCGTCCAAAAACTTTGTCATATAATTGCGAACTCCATCCGGAAGTATGACAACACATCTCTGGTCTTCCCGAAGATCTTTTGCCGCCTTCAGTGCGGCCACGACTGCACTGCCCGAAGAACCGCCACAGAGTAGCCCTTCCTCTGCGATGAGCTTTCGAGACATTTCTAGCGATGATTTGTCTTCAGATTTATACCACTTGTCGACAACACTTCGATCCAAAACTGTGGGAATGAAATCATATCCAATGCCTTCCACTTCATAGAAAGTTGTGTCCGATTTATTAATGTCTTCGGGCAGAGCCAGTATTGAACCAAACGGATCAACTCCAACAACCTTACAGTCGGGCAGTACTTCTTTGAGTTTACGTCCGATGCCAGTGACTGTACCTCCAGTGCCGGCGCCCACGACAACCATATCCACGTTATGGTCTGTCTGGTGGAGTATCTCTTCAGCGGTGCTGTCGTAATGGGCCAAAGGGTTGTTAACATTGCGGTATTGATTTAAAATTACAGACTTCTCGATCTGTTGGCAGAGTTTTTGAGCAACTTTTATGTTACTCTCAGGGGAGACATAACTGGCCGAAGTCGGTGTGCGGATAATCTTAGCCCCTAAAGCGTGCAATACTTTCACTTTCTCCTTAGAGTTCTTCTCCGGCATAACAATTATGCATTTGTATCCCTTGACGGCCGCCGCCAACGCCAACCCTATACCAGTGTTACCACTCGTGGGCTCAATGATAGTGAATCCCTCGCGAAGAACACCATCGCGTTCNGTGCAATACTTTCACTTTCTCCTTAGAGTTCTTCTCCGGCATAACAATTATGCATTTGTATCCCTTGACGGCCGCCGCCAACGCCAACCCTATACCAGTGTTACCACTCGTGGGCTCAATGATAGTGAATCCCTCGCGAAGAACACCATCGCGTTCGGCGTCGCAAACCATCTTCAGTGCGATCCTGTCCTTAACACTTCCGCCGGCGTTAAAGTACTCGCATTTGGCCAACACTTCACACTTAATGCCATACTCTTTGGGAATCTTGTTTAGCCTCACGAGTGGTGTGTCTCCGATCTGTTCCAATATATTGGACAATATCTTGGGTTTGGGTTTGAGTTTGTCGTGAAAGTGCGGATCAGTGGCCGTCGACGACTTGTGCAGTGACCACAAACACCTGGGCTTCGCATTCGGGTCTTCAAACTGTTTGCTCATGTCTTATGTCTTAACCTACAATGGGCAGCAATAAAAAAATGCATTAAAGTTCATATATAACCTGTCATTTTTTTAATTGAAATTTACACTGAAAAGCAATTATTTTGGAGAATAAGTGGCGTAGCACATTCTAATTGGTATGGACATGTTCCGCACGGTTCATAGATGTATTTTCTTTTGAGATAATCGGCGAATGGCCAGAAATGACC